ACAAGCACCACAAGCACCACAAGCACCACAAGCACCACAAGCACCACCACCACAACAACCACCACGACGACAGTCTCCACCACCACTACCACAATCAGTGCAGAATGTCAGGCAATGCTAGTGGACACTCCGATGCTTGACCAGATTTCAGTGACGCCAATGGCATGCTACATGTGCAGTGATGCTTCGGAACTCGATCAATGCTGCAGTGCATGCTTGGAACGTGTTCAAAATGAAAGTAGCAGACCTCCTCAAAATGATTATGGTCCCCAACACAAAGTGCGAGACTTTTGGGTCTGCCAGGGTTGTGATGATGCAACCCTATCGGGGTTTGACAACTACTCGGAATACAGCAGGTTTGTCGACCGTGGGTTGGAAATTGCCAACTGGGTTGACTCAGAAGTAAACAGAATCATTGCTAATGCCACGCAGACACGTCGACTTTTTACAGAGCCGCGTCGTTTGTTTGAATGTTTCACCGACAGCGGACAGATCAGCATGGCCCGACGAATCAAGTCACCAACACATGAGTGGAGTCTTGTGTGGCTTGCCGCCTCACTCCTCTCTTTGGGCAGCTGAGAAGCGCATGTCGTGAAGGTGTACTGTATATATGCTCGGAGTTGGCGCTCCTGTGCTGAAAAGGCGGAAGCTCAGGCGGAAGCTCAAGCCCAGTCCAGCTTCATTGTGTGTTCTCGAAAGAAGGGAGCAATCCCCAAGGCAAGGTTGCCTCACCAAGTTGGACTGATGTTCACCAGTCCATCAATGTAAGTAAGAAAAACCCCCGAGTTCAACATGCCTTCAGCCGAACCTCTTTAAATGACCCTTGGACGTGTTTGACGTGTTTGACGTGGGACGTGGAGTTCCTGAACCAAAGTGAGGACTTCGGGCGATACCACACGGCCGAACGGGCCATGTGACCTGCTCGGCCGTGTGACCCTCACTGACGTCGGTCATACAAACACACTATTGAAGGTCAAGGACCAGGTTCTACTGGGTCAGACTGGACTTTTTGGGTATTATGTAATTCTACTTGGTCCGTCCTCACTAACATGGAAGTGGAAACGGACCCCTGGGAAGACGATGGTTCCTCTACCCTAGGATTCAAACAACCATTTTTTTGAATGGTCTTTACCAAAGAACCATTGCTTTACTAAGGATTTTCACACTACACCACCAGCTCCGTTCTTTTAATGGTCTTTGAAGGCTAGGGTCTATTTATGGACATTGTGGGCCATCCACTTCCGATGTGTTCGTCGAAGTGGACTCGTCGAAGCGTCCTCACCGGAGGTCTTGCTGTGCTTCCATCGTGCTGGTTTGACTCCTGAGCGCTTGAAGCTCCTCTACTCGCACATCGCTGCTTGGACAGAGCGACAGAGCGACAGAGCGACGGCGAAGCAGAACCCACAGGATCCACAGGGATCCACCGGGGTGTCTTCTTTTTGGGCGGAAAGGAAACCGGGATCGACACGGGTCTACCAACCCATACACGACCTGTGTGGGACTGGAAGAGTTGTTGATTCTCAGTGTCGAACATTGAGATGGCATTTTGCTGATTGTCTAGCATTCGACTTCATGACTCCGGCACCTAGTTCCAGCCGTCTTGTCCCCAAATTGAGAGACCTGGGCATGGTTTGATTCCAATTTAGTTTTCAACAATTAATTCTAATTAAATTCTAAGTCTTTTCCATTAGAATCCGAAGTGAATTCAGTTAAGTCTATTGTACTTTTGTTTTGACAGATTATGCTTCAATTCTTCGAAAAAAAAATAAACAATCTGCTGCCGCGGTCGCGCCGCTCCAAGCCGCCAGACCGTCGGAGCCGAGCGAAACGGACGTCTCTCCACCGTCCGTCCGGTCGGTCCGCACCGCACCGGCCGGCCGGTCCGCGGGTTAAGGAGAGGGACTTCCCTCGCTTCGAGGCGGGGGGCCGGAGGTCGGTGATGTGTGGAGCTCCGTCGATCGAAGTCACTTTCCGGACGTCCTGGGTGAAGTTCTTAGTGAACCACGAGCAGCCTCGGGCCGTTTCAACCGTTTGCCGCTTCATCGCCACGTGGCAGGCGGCAGGCGCTCTTCTTCCCATGGCGAACGCCGTGAGCCTTTGCCCCTTGGAGATCGATCGAACCCATGCGCCGCTGATCGTGCCGTCAGGGAGGTTTGGTGTCCAGTCCAGAGCAACACCCAACCTCCCCATCACTAATCACTACCCCCCAAAAGAAAACCCCCAGTCCGCGACCTGTCTGGGACTGCCGGACTGCCGAGTGGCACGGCCAGGGGTGCCAGGGAGGGTCTGTCGCTGGCAGATCTTCCAGTCCCATGGAGTCGGGAACGTCGGCTCTGCGCATGGGTCGCAGCGCAGAGGTAGGTCGCAGTCCCCCAAGGCTCGTTGGAGTTGAAGAGTAAACGAACTGAAATACCTAACTACAGTAACACAGTAAGAGTTACAGTAAGATATGCTGTATGTACATAACCAACTAATTACAACTGAAAACCAAGAGTGGTCGGGGATGGTAGGAGTCAAAACTATAGATGCCCTCAGAGACTTGGGATTGATGCAATATGATATCAGAGACATGAGTTGCGTGCTGTCCTTCAATCTATAGATGTTTGTATGTTCAAGGTTTCCATTTGTGTCTCCATTGCTTTCTTCGAAGTGTGAGACCTGTACATGTGCAATATTTGTGGGTAGTTTGTCACGCAGAGTTGTGCGTTTGAACCATATATTTCCTTATTCCATGTTATATCTTTGAGTCTCTTTGAAGCTATTGGGCCACATGTGGTGTTTCATGAGGGCTGCTCGAGCTCCCAGGCTTGCAGCATGATGAGGTGTTTCATAAACACTTAAATACAGTGGCCCATTTGTTTCGGGCAGGGTATGACAAAATATCAAGATCCCGAAATCCGAGGTTGGGATGGTTGGGACACTGGGATCACCCAGTTCGGCTCCAGCGGATTCATTCGGCTCCAGGCCATACGATGTTGGCCACGGGGCTCAGCCACTTGGCCTTCCATGTTCCCTGCAGTCTCCTTGGGAACCCCAGACCAGACGAGGACTGGGACTGGAAGAGTGCCCCAGTTGCCCCATGAACATGACCCCAAGGTACAGTAACTCTTCCATACATGGATGGTTTAGGGTTGGACCTTCGCAGAGAAGAAACCGTGGGGTTCCAAGAAATTCACTGTCTTGGTGCGCCAGCAGGTCCATGCTTCAAAAAGCAAACTTGGAAACCTTTCTGACCTTTCTTTGCTGTTTGCTAGACTCTAGGGCCCTCCTTTGGTCAAGGATGTCTCTTTCTTCGAAAATCAAACCAAAGTAACACTCAAGCCGCTAGGTTTGGGGCCGTTATCTTACCCAGACATCCCAGACTCTCCCTGGCACTGTGTTTTCCAGTGGCTGCCCCATGGTTCTCCCTCCTCCCTTCGCGCCGCCAGGCTCTCCCGGAGCTGTGGTGGTGTTGTTGCGCTCCGCGTCGCGGACGCCGCTCATGGAGGTGGCGGACGATGCCAAGGACGTGCTGCTCTCGAGCTGACTCGAGCAGTTGTTTTTTGTTTTTTAAGAAGAGTTTTGGAGTGAGTCTGAGATTGGGTCAACAGGAAGAGTTGTTGGGAGGCGTCATGGAAGTTGTTGGGAGGCGTTTCTTCACCCATGAGAGGCATCTAGATGATGATTGAGTGGAGCTTCTTGCCGAGTTTGGATTGCTACTTCAAGGAACATGAGATGTCGAGAGTGTCTAACCATGAGCCCATGCTGAGCAGAACCATAGACACGTGTCAGTTGGATTCCGAACCAATCCCCGCAGGAGTTGCGGCTCTTGAAAGCCATCGAGCTTCTGATCCGAGTGGATTTTCTCTACACACAGGAGCTGCGGCTCTGATGATCTTCTGTGATGATTAGGCTGTCAACCAAAAAATGGCTGGCCCTCTTGAGACTGACCACATAAGGCATCAGTCGTCCAGGTCGTCGGCTTGATAGACTGGGTCACGCTTGGCCCCCATGGCTTATAAGCTCTCGCACGGGATGCGAAGCTCTGCACGAACTTCGGATGGAATTTGATGGATGGATACCCCCCCTAAAACTCCTGGCCTACCTCCGTGAGGTTCGATGGTTGGGGTGGGTGCCAGGGGGGTCGGGCTGCCCAACGAACGTCCGTCTCCGGTGTCCGTCGCAGTGCGGACTACTGCGGACTCCACGGCCACAGGAGCAACTGCCGCCTGAGGTGGCCGAATACATCGCCCTGGTGAGGGATTTGCGCTTCTACGATCGCGAGCTGCGTCTGGGGGCTCAAAGAGAGGACCTCCAAAATGCAGTTGGTGCGGCCATAGGGGTAGATCATTCATGGTCATTCCTTGTCCTGGGCATAACAAGAATCCAAACATAAAGCGAGTGGATCTTGATGTCCTTTCTGTGAGACCTTGCGCTGGTATTTTGGCATCCAGGAGGGGTGTGGATGGACGCACCATCGACACACCCATGGCCCCGTTTTGGTTCATCACGGAGTTGCAGACGTGACGCCGGTCGTTTTCGGCGTTTTCGGCTTCCATCGCACTTCAGAGAGATTTGCCAACCCAAGACGTGCATCCTCCGAACTCCTATCCAACCGGGTGCAACAGGGGATCACTCAAATACTATATTATTGGGTCTGTCTGAACTGACCTGTCAGTAAAGAATCATCACTATTTTTGGAACTAAGGCCTGCAACCTAAGGCATCATCATCCACTGAAACTGTATCATAACATATATCAGTACAATTAGGTCACGACAGGATCCTTCATGATTCTTTTTCCGTGAACCTGGCACGCTGGCGAGGTCGGGACACGGCGCTTTCTTATCAAATGGCCTTCTTCTTGCGAAAGCACGGCTTTCCCGCCAAGCGCAAGATGCTGGGGCCATACCCGCTGAAGGCACGGCGACGCACCTGCTGTTTTTTTGGTGCGACGGCCGGATCGGTATCTCCAGTAGACCTTCTGGCTTCTGACTTGTGGTGTGTACCATCAGGTGAACTTGACAGTCGCAAAACTCCGAGATCTAGCACGGTTTGTGCAAAGCTGCACAGAAAATACGCGGAATACAGGCACTATTATTATAGCACTACCTCTACAAACGCGTGTCCATCCATGGATCACCTGTCTCTTGTTCAGACCTCTCCTGCTCTCCGGCCACAGAACGGTTGACCGGTTGATGCACGGTGCCACACACCAACCAATCCGACGGGTTTTCGTAGGTTCCTATGCCAGAGACGACCTGTCTGAGACTGGCAAACATGCCAGTCCCATGGAAGGTTTAGGCCATGGTCCCACCTTGGTTTCAAGAAGGAATTCCATGGGAATTCCTGTGCCCACTCGACGATGGGCTGTGGATCTTCGACGAAAGCACCCTGCGTCGGTCTCACCCGACCGTGGCCAAAACCGATCACCGAGCCCTGCTCCCCGAGCTGAACCTCCGCTGCCCTGACCCGCCCCCGGGTCGAGCCCTGCCCCTTCGCCCCGCTGGAAGCGCTTCGCTCGGTCGCTGCGGATCCAGATCTGTGACCCCGATGAGCGGATCAACTTCGAGCCGGTGGAGGCTGCCCCGGTCGTACACCGGGTGCGGGTGGGCAGGAGGGTCCGGTGGGAGCATGGCGCGCCGGTTGGAAGGGGATGGGATGTGGTCACCTGGATGCGCAAAAGACCAGAGCAGATTCTGAATACTGAATTAAGATGAATTAAGCAAGATCTGATCCAAACAGTGCTTGTGGTAGCGGGAGTTTGGTAGGATGCTGGTCATTATGAAGAAGTGTTTTCCTTTTGGGTGGGAAGTCCCATTCTTCATGGTCAAAACTTGCAACGATGTAGGTGTTTCCATTGAGGTGAAGATAGGAGATGTCTAGAGATGAGTTAGGGGGGGCACAATATCTATATATATTATAGTTATAGTTATAATATATTATTTTATGATATTATGCACTGGTCATTGTGTTGTAGCACCCTCGGTTTGTGTTGTAGCACCCTCGGATGTGTTTTTTTTTGTGTCTTATCCTACAGGCCCTGAAGCCTAGAACTTGTGGATAGTCCTGTGAGGTCTTCCATACTTTGGCATTTGCAGTGGTGGGAATGATGTTCTTTCCTTAAGGTTCCAACTACCAGCAGTCCATGTCGAAGGTACATGAAGGTACTAGGCTGACCCCGGGGGTCCCTGAGAATTTGCTCAGGGGTACCTTCATGGAAGTTTAACATGATGCACATGGCCACTGGAAACATTCTCCACTTTCATGTTTGTTGGATTTGCTTCTTCAATTGGCTTCGCCAGGAGCGCAGCTGGAGATTTGGTCTCTTAGAGGAACCACCTTCGCGAAAGAAGCGCCATCTGGAGGCCGTGGCCCTTGGGCTCGGCGAAGGGATTTCTTCCTTTCTCTTAGACCAGCTGTGCTTCTCTTAGACCAGATGAGAAAAACAGATCAGCTATACAATTCCCTGGGAGTCGGTCTGACAAAAAAAGAATGGTCTGACGAGGGCAGGGGACCTGAGTTCGGGAACTTCCTGAAACCTTCAGCCGGTCAAAATATGGTCGAACTGGACTTCTAGGGTAATGATCACGTGTATAATGATGTATAGAATGCACAAACCCGAGCCGATGCAGGAGTAGGTCTTTGACCAGAGAAAGCCATGGTAGACATTTTAGCAAAAGGATTCAGGACAGAAGCAAACACACATGACCCCTACATAAGACTCATGGGCAGCGTGTGTAAACAAAAGGAAGAAGAACATGTACAGACAACTCTTGAGATCATTTCATAAATTCTCAGTCTAAACATGTCCAAACCCGCAACACATCGTCTTACCTCACCAGGATAGCCTGCACCGGACGTCATGGTCTTGAACTGAGCCTTCGGGTGGGTTCTTCGCACCGCTAGGCGCTGGGTTGGCGCTGCATCGAGGTCCGCTGCATCGAGGGCAGGGCAGGGCAGTGCTGGCGATCATGGGTGCGTGATGCGGCATGACAACTTCACCTGCATCCTTTGGGATTTGTTTGGGGGGATGCATGGGATTGCAGGGGTGGTGAGGTTTGCTGGGTGGACACGGTGGGTCGTTTCTTTTTTTTCCTTGAAACGGGATTGGCACACCACAGACGGCCCGCGTTTTTGGCAGGATCCGAGGCTAAACACAGACGGCCACGCCCGATTTGATGGGGAAAAAGCCCGAGCAAGTGATCAATCGTGTCCCTCTTTTGTGGGTTTTTGTTCTGGCTTTTCTGCTACACCCATGGAGCACCAAGTCGAGCCTGGTGTACCTCAGGTCCAGTACAGGAGCTTTCTTCGAGAGTAAGCCGCTGCCCGATCTCCAGGCAGTAGGGGAAGTGATGGTCCCAGACACTCCATGGGACTGGCGCCGTGACTCAGAGGTCCGCCAGTCCGATTCAGAGGTGCGACTCCCAGCACCGGATGTTCCGTCTTGGGAGCCAATCTTTCACCAGAACGGGCGCTGCTTCGTCATCCTTTTGGACCGATCTACTAGGTGGCTGCAGCATCCTGGAAGAGCCTGCCGGACTACGACGCGAAGGTTTGGGGCGGTGAAGAATCCCACCAACCGAATGGCATGGGATGGCATGGGGAAGGATGGGAAGGTGGCCACTGGGCGCGATGTGAATCATGAAAAAGGATGGAACGTGTTCGTACATCATATAAACCCCAGACACTCCATGGGACTGCCATATATGCCGCCCCATTGCACCCCCCATATATGCCCATCAATTGGGGTGGTTTTGGGGATCAATGGGGCGGCAGTCCGGACTGGCAGTCCCAGATAGGTCGTGTCTGGGTACTGAAGGTCGACCGGATTCGATCTTCGCCTCGGTCGACCTCCTTGTCTCCCTCCTCCCGGGGACCGAGGGAACGGGCAGACCGTCCGATGGACGACCCGCCCCTGCCGGGAAGAGCTAAGAGCTGCGGTTGTGACCCACTACGTCAAAGAGGGAGTGATGAGTTATTCTTCCTTTTCCTGTTTCTAATAGCTTCTTGTTACTAGTAAGGCACTTGTTACTAGAAGCGATGCACTTGTTCCTAGTAGCTTATTGTCATGTTTCTTCGAAAAACGAGTCTCTTTTGGGTTTGTTGATGTTTGCATCGAAGGTAAGCTCATGCAAATCGTGGACTTGGAGGGGACAGGGTTGGTGTTCATACTATCCATGACTGTGTAGCCAGCTGCTCAACATTCCAAGGAACTTGCGGTCTTTTGATGGAAAGGTTAGCTGAAGAGCAGATGATCACTCAGGAAAATGACCACTCAGCAGGGAATGCCCATGCCAGGCCAAGTTCATCCGGCAGTTGCTGAAGGAGTGGCAAAGAGGGTCGCTGTTCCCAATTCATCCAGTGCCATGTCATTCATTCCCTAGTGGTGCTACAGGCTATGCTGTTTGCTGACTTGGAAGCATGGCAGACCAGTATTTGTTCAGTCTAGTGGGTGGAAAGTGAATCTAAACATCATGTATTTAAGTAGACCATAGGACATTATGTTTTCACATATTTTCTATCATCTGACTCAAGGTTAGGTCCTCAGTTTCGTTTCGTGCTTCTTTTGTTTCGGGTGTCTTTGGGATGTTGTTCTCACTTGGTGCTCCTCGTTTGCAGCACCGCGAGCACCCCCTCGCCATCGATGTCGCCCTTTCGCTTGGGATGAGCCTGGCGTTGTGCGTTTGGTGCACACATCGGGTTTGAGAGTTTGCCAAGTTTGTTTCTATTTATCTTATTTCATCTTATTTCCAATTGCAATTGGCTTCGCTGGACTACATTGCTTTGAAACTTGAACGTCGATGACATGTCATTGCCCTTGAAGGAGTCCAATGACTTTAAATCCATGCGCGTTTTCTTGCTGACAGCATCGATCCTCCTTCCAGGACAACGAGCTATTGACACTCTGAGAATCAAGTCGACGGCTGTCCTGACGGCTGTGCGCAAGAAAAAATGTTTTGGTTCGTGCCTTTGGGGCGCAACTATTGGGTTGAATGAATCGGGATAGTCGCCATGGGTACTTTAAGAGGATCAGTATAATGTTGACAACGTGTTGACCCTTGCTATCCCCTGATCGTCATACTTCGGTTTGAAGTGTTTGGGTATTGACTGACCTTTTCTTGCACCTGAGGTCTTGATCAGCAGGCATGTTGGCCTTTCCTTTTTGGCTGGAGATATCTCTGGACTGGAATGTAGAATCTCCGGGTTGGAATTGACTGGAATGTAGAATCTCTGGGTTGGAAGTTCTTCGATATTTGTATATATATATATATACATCGTTTCATGTCACTCCTGATGTTGAATCCCCATGTAGCTCGTTCCGAATACGAGCAGATAGCTCATTCCCCGGCTGGCGCCTGGAGCCAGCCCCGCCTGAAGGCAGTGCGCTGGAAGTCCCTCCCGGGACCTCACATCAAATCCTCCAATCAACGGTTGTTGCGCCATGTGACCGCTCGAACCACGGCACGGTTGCAGGGTATGGAGTCAACCTGGAGGCCCCCGGTCAACGGACACCAGGTCAACGGACGGTCCGTCGGTCCACCGGTCACCCCACAGAAACCGGACCACTGAGGCCAGGCCCCCCCCCCGAATCACACGGGATGGGTGGCCATGTGACTGGTGACGCTGGGTGACGCTGGTGCTGCAATGCTCTGGCTCAGTTGGCAGGAAGAAACGCTGACAGTGCATGTCGCACAAGGCTTGCCTGACAGTCGCTTGCACGCCAGGCGTGATTTGCCTGGTGTAAGAGTTCACTGTACTTGTGGGTATGAAGGCGCCGAGTGCCAAAGTCTTCCCCTCCGTACATTTCTGGGGGATCAACCTTATAAATATAATGAACTAGAAAACACTTGATTCCAAAGCACAGGTCGTACAGTTTCGGCACTTGCATCGGGGAAGTGCATGGGCGACAGCATGGCGAAAACCAAAGCACTGTATGTTTCGGTTGCTCCAGGTTTGGATCCGGCAGCCTCACTCACAGACCACCCATAGGCGGGCCAGCTGAAATGAACATCCCCCCCTCCGTGTCCCCACCTCCTGTGCGACGCAAAGCATCGGATGGCATGGAGACGCTGCTTCTTGCTTGGAGAATGGCAACACGGGCGAACTTCTTAAAGTTAACACCAGATGCTCCAAACAGCTCTTGGTACCTCAAAACCATAGGGATTTGAGATCTCAGACCCCTCCATATGAGGGTCTGACCCCTCCATATGAGGGCCCATGAGCGTTTGGGCACTTCGTAAAACAGAGGCAACTGGTCTTCCGCGGGCGGTATGTTGCCACTTCCATGATTGAATATTCGAGAAAAAGAACTCTCCAGAGGTCCCGCAGTGTCCAACTGTGGCAAAAAAAGGATCTTGGACGCGGCATCTAGATGATGGGAGCTTACGACACCCAGACACTCCATAGGACTGGTATATTTACCTGCATTGGGGTGGTGCCAGAGGGGTCAATGGGGCGGCATATATGACAGACATTCCCAGAAGTGATACGAGGAAGAGCCAGATGAACGGGGCTCTGACTGTTCAGCGCTTTTTGCTGATGGGAGTGGCGCAAGAACACGCATGGTCACAGTGACATCCCAATCCGGGTGGGTCCAAACTTCGTGAAACTTGGGGGGTATTGAAAGATCGTTCCAAAAGAAGTTGTGCAAAGACTTGACATGACTTGACTCTTTGGTAGGACTGGGGCTGTCGGTGACGCCGCAGCAGGGATTTCTGATGGGCGCTTAAAGGACATCCATTTGCAGTCTGAAGGAAGGGCCTTTGCACTTCAGATTCAGACATCATATTTTTGTTCATTTCTTTGCAACGCTTTTTGGGTGACATCGGGTGAAGAATTCTACGGTGTCGGTGTTGGCGTGGAAAAGATGTTGCGCACCTTTCGTTAATCAGCGTCATACTGGTGGCATCTCGAATCTGCCTGTGGCATCGAAACTTGCGATCAGGCAGGCCTGAACCAGAACTCACCAGACGCGTCAGAGCATTTCAATAACAAAGTAAGTGCAGTGGTCCTGGTCCTTCCTTTCCTTGTTATTTGGGTCATGATCCAAATGCCTGGCGTAGAGGCAGATAGATCCGCAAGACCTCTGACAACAGGACAACCAAGGACGGTTTCCCTGGGTTTCGATCACGAGATGACCCGGCTAGGCTAGGCTTGAGCAGCATCAAGGGCTCAAAGCTGTCACTGTACAGTGCCAGTGGAAGCATTGGTGGGGGATAGGGGCTCTTCCGAAAAGTATCCATGTATGGGGACCTGGCTTAACCCAAAATCACACGTCAAAATCTTAGCAGATGTTGGAGGACCCAGGGCACTCTACTTGTGTGCCCCCAGAATTGACAGGTGGTCATCGCAATCTCGCCTAACTCTTAACCCTCTGGAGGTTCAAACTTGGGGAACTCCGGGGTGTGTGTGAAGGATTCTCGCAGAGTCCACCACCCCCCCCGGAACCCGAAGACCCCACCGGAACCCGAAGACGCCAGGGGCCGACCTCTCGTTCTCGGTCTCGCCATGTCTCTCTCGTCGTTCGACACCGGACGGCCGAGGCTCGGCCTCTTCGAAGCAGCGTCCTGGATCGGCGACGTGCTCTCGAGAAGCTCCGAGAAGGACGCCGAGCTGCCCGGGGCCGCAGGGGGGAGACCCCAACAGCGGCCAGCAGGGAGGGGTTGAGGGTGGCCCAAAGGCGAACTCGGTGGGAGTGGGACGAAGGAGGCCTTTAGTTTAATTCTTTTTTAAATGGTGTTCATCATGTTTCATCCACTTATGAGCTGACCGACCATGTAGATGTGCATGTTTCGGCTGCGTAGAATCTCAAGACCAGTCACGGACGGGTAGCCCTGTGGAACGTCCTAAGTTGATGTTGATTTCCATGTGGGTGCATCATCGGTTTCCTCCGTGTGAATCCCCTTCTGAGGAGTCTTCATTTCTCGCGCCCTCCGAAAGAGCAGCAAATCCAAGCTGGCAGGTCAACACCTCCCCCACCAAAAACCATGGTAGATTGACATCCCAAGAGATGGAGGAATCTGTTCAGAACTTTGGTGGGAAAAACCACAAAAAAAGCCCGGGTGCCATGACCCCACAGCCAAAGAACGCATGGATAACACATTGATAACACATACCGTGCTTGTTTTGATGAATCTTCGTTGCACGACTTGTTGGAAGCTCCAGGTGTTTTCTTTTTTTCTATCACCGGACCGGGGGCGCTGATCAAGAGGTCGGTCGAGGGCAGGGCACATCTGGAAACACCACAGCAGGGATAAAAATACGTTGTGCCGTTGTGCATACACGGAGCGTTGGATGCAGGAGGTAGACTCGGTAGACAAAGCCACACAACATCACAACATCTTACAAGTCTAATTAATTCTCAGCTAAGCGGCAAAGCACGTAGAAGTACCTTTGGCCGGTCAAGACATGGTTATACAATATCATGATCAACCTACGTTATGCCTCGGTTAGCAAGTGGATTTCGGGGGACATGGAAGGCAGTCTTATGTACGTAGACTGGTCCTCCAAAATGATGCCCAGGTCAAGTCTGGCTGTCACCGTCCAAAGTGTGACGGAGTCGGTGAAATGCTTCTCGAGTTCTTTGCCCGATGAGGACGGGTTGAGTCAGAGTCAGAATCGATGGATATCGACCACCCACGGCTGCCCATGGCGCAAAACATGAGTTCAGTTGAATGTGATTGTTCATGTGACGTGTGTATCCCACAATACCCAGACACTCCATGGGACTGCCATATATGCCTACACTGGGGTGGTTCTCATGCTGTCATGAACCCCATGACCCTGCATGACCCGTGTCGCTTGGAAGAACGAAAGAACAGCGAATCAAATCACAGCGCTACAGCGGCTTCCACACGGGCGAAACTCCGGTGTGTCCCCTACCAAGCCCTAGGGGATCCGTTTTCGTACCGTACCTCAGGTACGGTGATGTGTTCGAGACTGGTGCCGGGTCCAGTCGGGTCCAGTCGGGTCCGGTCGTACCGGACTGGGCCCCTAGGGAAGGTACTGGGGCCCCTAGGGTCCACGAGTTCAGTCGACTGAGTCGACGGTGCACTCGGTCGGCTCCAGTCGTCAGCTGCACTGCGATTGTTTGGACAGGAAGGGATGGCCTTCCAAGATCGGTAGCTTGACCCGTGCAACGGTGGTCTAACGCCTATAGTAAAACATATCCCAGACACTCCATGTATGCCATATATACCTACATTGGGGTGGTTTGAGGGGTCAATGTAGGTATATATGGCATACATGGAGTGTCTGGGTATAGTAAAACCATAGCGTCTTTCCGTAAGAACCATTGAATCAATGGTTGGACTCCCACGGGGCCTAGATGTAAAATCCATGGTCTTACTGTCCACAAGAGACGGCCCTGCAATCTGGCGCGGGTGGCCGAATCTTGGGTCGATGAACCAAAAGAAGCGCCGGTGATTTTGACCCGCGCTGCGCTGTCCCAGATTTTTGATGATGTTTGCCTCTTGTCTTCCATCAACTGGCCCGAAGAATAGAGTCACCCTAAGAGATCACCTTTGGCTATTATGCGGAATGCCGCCACAACACACCGGCCACACCACAAAACAACTTTGCGTGAAACCACATTTACGTCATCAGCCCTCGAAGACAGATCCAGAACCTCCGGGAGAAGACAAATCAAGCCCCCTGTCCCTAGGGCTCCAAGTACCTTCTCAGAAGCTGTTTGAGGTGTGTTTAGAGTTTAGAGGGTCCAGCCATACGTTCTGACAAACCCCAGTGTGGTTCGAGAAAGGTATTTGGAGGGTCTACCAGGGTTCTCGAACCCATCCTTTCAAACCACACTCAAGTCGACAACCCTTTGGATCGAGACGAACAACACCGCGAGTCAGCGCTTTGGAAGTAAGCCACTACAATAGGGTTTGCTCGGCCCATCGTATGCTGATTTGCAAGAGAATGATCGGAACATTTCCATTATTGGGTTTCACTTTGCATGCTGGGTTGCGCAGTTTTGACCTA